CTCAAGCGAGTCTCCCGCCTCCGCCTCCCAAGTAGCCGGGACCACAGGCGCCCACCACAACGCCCGGCTATTTTTTGGTTGCAGCCATCATTGTTGTTTTGGCGGGTCCGGGCTGGGGATTCGAACCCGCCACCTCAGGTGTACGTGGCTGGCGCCTTAGCCCGTTGAGCTATAGGCGCCGAGCCAGCCATTATATTTCTATGCTCTTGCAAAGATGCTTTCCCCTTTGAAGCTTATGCTCTCTGGTTCCACTGCCCTTCAGCCTTCAGCAGCTCTCAAATAATCTCTGTGCTCTTACTATCATTCTGGGGAGGTTTTAGGAAAACCCACAAAATACAATTTTTTTTTTTTTTTTGAGACAGAGCCTCAAGCTATCCCCCTGGGTAGTGCCATGGTATCACAGCTCATAGCAACCTCCAACTCCTGGGCTCAAGCGAGTCTCCTGCCTCAGCTTCCCAAGTAGCTGGAACCACAAGCGCCCACCACAACGCCCGGCTATTTTTTGGTTGCAGCCGTCATTGTTGTTTAGCGGGCCCAGGCTGGGGATTCGAACCCGCCACCTTAGGTGTATGTGGCTGGCACCTTAGCCGCTTGAGCCACAGGTGCCAAGCCACAATTTTTTTTTGTTATTATTTTTTTCTTGAGACAGAGTCTCACTATGTTGCCCTGGGTAGAGTGCTGTGGCATCAGAACTCACAGCAACCTCAAATTCTTGGGTTTAAGTGATTTACTTGCCTCAACCTCCCTAGTAGCTGGGACTACAGGTGCCCCCACAACACCCAGCTATTTTTTGGTTGTAGATGTCATTGTTATTTGGCAGGCCCGGGCTGAATTCAAACCCACCAGTTCCGGTGTATGGGGCTGGCGCCCTAGCCACTGAGCTATAGGCGAGGAGCTGTACAATTTTTTTTTTTGAGACAGAGTCTCACTATGCCACCCTCAGTAGAGTGCTGTGACATCTTAACTCACAGCAACCTCAAACTTTAGGGTTCAAGTGATCCTCTTGCCTCAGCCTCCCAAGTAGCTGACATTACAGGTGTCCTCCACAATGCCCACCTATTTTTAAGAGATGGGTCTCACTCTGGCTCAGGCTGGCAAAGTACAGTTCTTTTTATTTTATTTTATTTTTTTGAGACAGAGCCTCAAGCTATCCCCCTGGGTAGAGTGCCGTGGCATTACAGCTCATAGCAACCTCCAACTCCTGGGCTCAAGCGAGTCTCCTGCCTCTGCCTCCCAAGTAGCTGGGACTACAGGCGCCTGCCACAACGCCCGGCTGTTTTTTGGTTGCAGCGGTCATTGTTGTTTGGCGGGTCCAGGCTGGGGATTCAAACCCGCCACCTTAGGTGTACATGGCTGGCGCCTTAGCCGGGTGAGCTATAGGCGCCAAGCCAAAGTACAGTTCTTGACCTCAACTTTTACTCCTTTCAGTTCCTTAATATCACCATTTCTAGAAAATTAAGTTTTCTCAATAGTACAGGGTCACAGTAAGGACTGGGAGACAGTAGTGTTCTTGTGTGTGGTAAGATTGGTGATGCCAGACCTAGCTGGTGTGGACTTCAAGTCCCACTGACTGACTGGCACCAGTGTCAAGACTGCTAGGTGTCTAAAGTATAAAGAGAATAGCATTGAGACTGGATTGTCCACTGACACTTATGGGGAAGGTTCACAATCTGGATTTGACTCTTGTGCCAAGCTTCCAAGAAACCTGTGCTTGGAGCTAAAAGCACCTTTCTCATTAGCTGCCCCTCCGGGGGACATCTGACAGTAATGACAACTTTCACTCCCTTAAAATATTCTTCTTTCTTTCTGATTCTGTGACAAATCCTGTCCCAGTTTTTTTTTTTTCTGTTTTCTCTCCAAGTTTTTATTCCTTTTTTTGAGACAGAGCCTCAAGCTGTTGCCCTGGGTACAGTGCCGTGGCATTACAGCTCACAGCAACCTTCAACTCCTATGCTAAAGTGATTCTCCTACCTCTGCCTCCCAAGTAGCTGGGACTACAGGCACTTGCCATGATGCCCAGCTATTTTTTGGTTTCAGCCGTCATTATTGTTTGGCAGGCCTGGCTGGATTCAAACCTGCCAACAGAGTTGTTCTGTGGCTGGTGCCTTAGCCACTTGAGCCACAAGCGCCAAGGCCGTTTTTATACTTATTCATTGTCCCCCCCCCCCTTTTTTGAGATAAGAGTCTTATTATGTCGGCCTTGGTAGAGTGCCGTGGTGTCACAGCTGATAGCAACCTCAAACTCTTGGGCTTAAGCGATTCTCTTGCCTCAGCCTCCCAAGTAGCTGGGACTATAGGCGCCTGCCACAATGCCCGGCTATTTTTTGGTTACAGTTGTCATTGTTGTTTAGCAGGCCAGGGCTGGGCTCAAACCCACCAGCCTTGGTATATGTGGATGGGGCCTTTACTCACTGAGTGATGGGCACCGAAACTCATTGTCCCTTTTCAAAGATTATCCAAGGGTTTCTCTTCCACTTGTGCCTTAAATGTTGGAATTCCCCAGAGCACTCTTCTGAGGAGCAAATCTGTTCTCTGGGGAGCAAATCCAAATCTATGGATTCAACTACCACAGATATATTGATGCTTCATAATTTCTGGCCTACACATTAAGTTTTTTTTCTTTGTAGAGACAGAGTCTCACTTTATAGCCCTTGGTGAGTTCTGTGGTGTCACAGCTCACAGCAACCAGCGATTCTCTTGCCTCAGCCTCCAGAGTAGCTGGGACTACAGGTGCCCACCAGAGTGCCTGGCTATCTTTTTGTTGCAATTTGGCCGGGGCCAGGTTTGAACACACCACCCTCAGCACATGGGGCTGGCACCCTGCCCACTGAACCACAAGCAGAAGTTTTAAAAATGGCACCCTACCCACTGAACCACATTACAGTAGTTTTAAAAATTTTTATCTATGCCCGCTGATCAGTGGATAGGGCGCCAGCCACATGCACCAAGGGGTGGTGGGTTCAAACCAAGCCTGGGCCAGTTAAAACAACAATGACAACCGCAACAACAACAACAAAAATAGCTGGGCATTGTGGCCGGTGCCTGTAGTCCCAAGCTACTTGGGAGGCTGAAGCAAGTGAATCACTTAAGTCCAAGAGTTTGAGGCTGCTGTGAGCTGTGATGCCATGGCAATCTACCCAGGGTGACCCCCAAAAAAAGTTTTCTATGAAAGTATGTGTGTGACAGCAGGGCACTCTACCCTGTCACACTCTACTGAAGGTAACAAAGTGAGACTGTTTCAAAAAAAAAAAAAAGAAGGAAAGTAATATATGTACAGAGTAAAAGAAATTCAAACGATAAATATGGGTGTAAAATAAAAAGTAAAAGTCAACCCTCCCAGGCCCACTTTTTAGAGTTAATTTTTTTTGGCACTTGCTTTTTCCCCCACTTACTATATTTTTCTACTAAGTTTTAGATCTGTATAGTAACTATCATTAGGACATACCTATCTAGCTATCTTACAGGTACCTAAAACTTTCTTTTTCTTTGGAATTCTCCCTACTCAACATCCTGTTAGCCTCCTTACAATCAAGGACTATTAAAAAAATTGTCTTTATACATTGTGCTTTTCCAGTTCAATGTGGTTTCTACCACCGCATCCATGACATAGTTTTCTCCAAACTACTAAATGTCTTCCTTGTTCCAAAATCTAATGGACACATTTTAGCCTACATCTTACCTGATCTCTCGGTTACATTTAATATTTTTACCAGTTTCCTTGATACTTCTTTCCTAATCATCCTCTTCCCTTTCCGTTTGGCCCTTATCAGTATCCTCTTAAAAGCTTCTTTTCCTCCTCCCATCCCTCCCACGCAGGTATCCCTTCTCTAAGCCATCTTCCCCATTTAATGGGTTCAATTTCTTTCTACCTGCACTCCTTCCCTAGGACAGACCACCATTTCTTGCCTGGATATGAGCTTCCCCATTGTTCTCCTTGCCTCTAACTTTGTATTTTCAATCCATTCTTCACTTGGTAAGCAGTGATCTTTCTAAAATCCAAATATAATTGTTCACAACTGTGGATACCTTTCGAAGCCTGTTCTGCTCTTAGGATAATAACCAATTAAATTCCAATGCTCTGGTCCCTCCCTCTATATTACCTCTTTCTTAAGCCATACTAACCCGTTTCCAGAACGTAGTTGTATCACCCCTCACCCCACGCCTGTCCCAATTCCCAAAAGTCCTTCAGGAATCCGCAGAGGCGAAACTTCCTAAGGTAAAAGGGCGTTCAAAAGGCAAACGCTGAAAGAATGAGTTCCGAGCGGCGATCTTAACAACGCTTTCAGCTCTGGCTCAGGGTTTACGGAACGTCCGGGTTACCAGGAAGCTCAGAGCAAAGGTCAAATCCAGCTCTTGACCCTTCTTCCAAATTCGCGAGGCAATCTGACTCCCATGTAATTCTGCCCTTATGTGTCATGGCTGCCACCCCAGTCGTTCAATGGGTCTTGAAGTCGCCACCAGCCAGCTCTGGCGCCATTAATATTTCTACATTCAAGAATGCTACCCTCTCCGAGCTCTTCCTACCGCCCTAAGACGAAGCTGCGTTGCCAGCTTGCCCCAAAGCAAGATGGCTGCCAATCTCTATTCTCTCCTCCCAAAGTGAAGCTATTTACTCCTCGCTTAATGCCGCTGCCAGGCTGCCCTCACCTAGTATGGCTACTTCGGCTCATGCCTCACTATGGTCTCGAAGCCGCCACTAACCGGCCAGGTTCCGGGAGGATGGAGCCACCCCCGCCCGCCTCTCCCCTCCCCCACGCCCGCGGCGGCGGCGGCGGCGGCTGGAGCCCGGATGCGGCGCCGTGAGACAGGCCCGGGAGAGCGGCACGGATGGATCCAACATGGCGGCGCCGAGCCTGAGCCGAGAGTGAGGCGGCGGGGCGGCCGGAGTGGGGAGGGGGAGTCGAGCGGGACGGGGCGTCGAGTGGGACGGGGCGGGGCCGGGCGGGGCCGCAGAGGGCTTGGGGAAGGAAAGTGGAGGGGGAGGCGGTGGCGACGTCCAGCCCGAGAACCTCGAGAGGGAGGTGACGGGACGCTGCGAGGTGGGGGAGGGGAGTAGCCGAGGGGGGCGTGCAGGGGAGATGGCAACTGTGGGAGAGGGCAGGGGTAGGAGCATTGGGAGGGGCGTAAACAAGGACCGAGACTGGGCCAGGCCAGGGGTATTAGAGAGGCCGAGGTAGGGAGTGGGGCTGTGATCCGGCCGGATTGAAGGGGATAGGAGTAGGAGAGAGAGGCTGAAGGTGCCAAGGGGAAGGGGGCTTGTGGCATGTGGTTGGAGGGAGGACTGGACTCTTGTGAGGGGTGTCGTAAGGTGGTGGGCAAAGGTGAGGCTGGACTTCAGACGTTTTTTGGGGGGAGTTGAAAGTGTTAAATTGGAGGTGGGAGGGGGAAGGGCCCAGGGGAGAATTTGGTTGGAAAAAGAGAGGACGGAGGTTTGGGGAATGGAAAGAGTGTCGGTGTAACGAGGTAATAGAGAAAGTGAGAGACTGGGAGGAAAGTTTGGGAGGAAGGGAACGGGATGAGAGATAGGACAGGGGAGCTGCACGGGTGATAGAGGTTCAAGGGTTTCCCTTTCCCAGTGGAAAGGAAGAGAGCAGTTAAGCAGCATCAGTTGCAGCCAATTCTAATTGCCAGGTCCTTAGCTTTTAATAGGGTGGGAAGGGCAGCAGGGAATGGTCATGTGGGTTTGGAGAATTGGGGTTGGATGAGGATTCGACTGGATTTGCTTTCCAAAAGTCTCCTTAGCTTACTGTTCACTTGTTTTTCCTGGTTACCAAAAGAAGGGAAAATGGGGAAGCTGGTGTTGCCCGAGTGTGGAGGAGCAAAGGACTTTTTCTAGTTTTTATCAGTTAGCAATACAAGAGCAGGGAAACAGACATAGCTATATTGGAGCCCTGTATATATAGTGGAGACTCTTGAAGTCTGAAGAGGAAACAGAAAAGACAGGATGGCATCTAGGCAGCCAGGCTAATTAAATGAATGCTTTAATTTCCAGACCCTTTTGCTGTTTTAAGTGCTAGGAGGAAGGGGGTCAGTATGCGGTCCTGTATATAGAAAAACTTTCCCTGGTAAAACATAGATGTATGAGTGGATGCTGCCCTAGTGGATATTTTGTTCTCATTGTGTGCTAGTTAAGGGAAAGGACTGAAAATAGAATTTGGAGGATGGTTGTGGTCTCATAAGTGAAGTTGATGGGAAGAAAATTCCTTTTTTTTGCTGAAACCATTTATCTTGTAATTCTCTCTAAAGATGAAAGTTAATATGTAACAAAATAGATGAAATAAAGAGTTGAATTTTCCCTGAAGTTAAGGAATTTAGGACCTTTCTTATTATGAGCCATGGAGACTGGAAATTCTTGGAGTTGGTAATGTTTTGTGAATTGACTAGCAGAGTGAGGGAAGCCTGTGGACTTTGTTGGGGGTAAGTTCTCGATTTGGAGTGGATCATCTTACTAAAAATGGCTTTGGCTAGTCTGTGTTTTTGCAACAGATTAATTCTATGGGCCTTTGAGGCTTCAAAATAAAATTTGCAAATTGACTCTCCCCTCCCCCCATTTGTTTTTGTTTTGCTGCTGGCTTTGAAACTTGTGCTAGGAAGAGACCTGGGAAATTAAGTTTCTTGCAGAGGTAAGTCTGTAACTTTTTACTGTTTTCAGACAATGGAAGGGAATGGAAAAGTCCCAGTAGATGCCAGGGAAAGTGAGGTTTTACTCACCTACTGAGTGCATAAGATCCGTTGCAGTCACTATCTCTTTAGCTTACTTACTAAAGTAGCAGGAGATAGCAGAAGAGGGGAAATTAAGTCTTGACATAAGCTCTCACCTTTGGTTTGCTGTCTTCTTGGTCAGCTCTGAGGGAAACATTTTTTAACATGTGGAAGGCTGTACTTTATTACATTGTCTACTAAATGTTGCCCTGAGAGGGTTGTTGAGGCACCCTCCTTCCACAGGGAAGGCTTTTCTTCTAGCTTACTCTTTTTTCCAGCTGTTCAGGGTTCCTGGAATCTTTCATTTGAAAACACGCTGTAATTCTGACTTCCAGATATTTGGTTACATTTTCCTAGTCCCATCAGCAAGAAAGCTCTTTATTACTCTTAGCCATCTTTAAGATTTTCTGTGTAGTTTTCATTTCATGCTTCACGACATCACCTTTTTTAGTCTTTTGCATGACTTTTGTCTAAGGACTTCTGAGAAAATCAAATATTAGTTCTCCCTTGAAAATAGAGATATCATCCCTGTTGGGAAGAGACTAGTTTTTATTTCAGTCTTGATGATTTCAAGCTATCACTCTTTTTTTCTTTTTAAAAAATTTCTTCTGTATGGCTTTCCTCTGAGGACTTCTGAGAGAATCAAGTATCTTAAAAAAGTATAAATATCATCCCTGGTTGGGATGATACTAGACTTTGCTTGGAAGTGGAAACCCAATAGAGAGCAACTATTCTAGAGAAACTCCTATAGATACATAGATTGTCAGTTGGCCCTTGGCTGACTTGGACTTTCATAAAGAAAGAACAAAAAACAGGCTGGGCGCAGTGGCTCATGCCTGTAATCCTAGCACTCTGAAAAGCAGAGGTGGGTGGATTGCCTGAACTCATCAATTCAAGACCAGCCTGAGCCAGAGCAAGACCTCGTCTTTAAAAAATAGACAGGTATTGTGTGGTAGGTTCCTGTAGTCTCAGCTACATGGGAGCTGAGGCAAGGGGGTTGCTTGAGCCCAAGAGTTTGAGGTTGCTGTGAGCTGTGATGCACCACAGTACTACTGAGGGTGAAAAAGTGAGACTTTTTCTCAAAAGAAAAAAAAAAACCTCCAAGAACTCTAGGAAATAGAGCAGTTCATCAGAATCAAGAATTATTCTTGGGAAATTTTGTGGGGAAAACTCATGCCACTATCCCATATGGAGTCAGACCAGTCCAATGGGATCAGGACTCTTTTTACTGGAGTGTTTGTCTTGGGCTATGTGTTGCATATACCAAGACTTCAGTTTGTTCTAATTTGTTTAGAGGGGTATATTTTCACCACTATTGCCATAGATTTTGCTGAACTCTCTTGCTTCACTGCTGCAGAAAACTGAATATATCTTGGTTTAAGAGGAAATTGGTCATATTCTTCTAATGCCGAACTTAGATGGATGCCTAGAACCCCATCATATGGGTTGCAGAGTGAGTGAACTCACTATCCTAGATGATAATTAAGTGGGAGGGCTGTGTATTAGCCTGCCTGCCTGTCTGTCTCCTGACATTTCTCCCAAGGACATAGCTTTGGGAAACTCTCATACTTACATGTTTTAATTTATTGAAGAAGCAATATAAATCTGATCAGCAATCTATTAAGAGTCTGCTACTGGTTTAGTTCAGGACTTTAAAAGATGGCTTTGAGGCTTAGGAGTAGGAATCTTATAGAGGACTGCAAGACAGTCCTCTTATTCTCTTATTCCCACAGAATTCCAGACTGAACTAGGTCATAGTAGACCTCCTGGGACAGGGCAGAAGGGAGTATAGTAGCCTTACTACCTGCTGTGCACCTAAATGGCAACAGCAGGTGAGAGAGGAGCCAGGGTTGGAGTAGAATGAAACACCTGAGTGCTAGTGGGACTTAACAGGTAAATGAGTATGTGTCTGACAAGCCTTTCTTTTCTTCTGGAATATTGTTTGATGGGTTCAAGGGACCAGATGACTTCTTTGTCGAAATCTAGTGGGGAAAGTGACATGCATTTTGGGCCTTCATCATGCTCCACCTAAAAAAACATTTCTCATCTGGATGGTGCCTGTGGCTCAGTGAGTAGGGCGCCATCCCCATATACTGAGGGTGGCCGGTTCAAACCCCGTCCCGGCCAAACTGCAACAAAAAATAGCTGAGCATTGTGACCAGCACCTGTAGTCCCAGCTGTTTGGGAGGCTGAGGCAAGAGAATCGCGTAAGCCCAGGAGCTGGAGGTTGCTGTGAGCTGTGACAGCACTGTACTCTACTTAGGGTGACAAAGTGAAACTCTGTCTCCTAAAAAAAAAAAGAAAAGTTTCTCATCAGTATTATTGACAGTTGGGGCCAGGTAATTCTTCGTTGTGGGTGACTGTCCTGTACATTATAGGATGTTTGAAAGCATCCCTGGTTTCTTTTTTTTTTTTTTTTTTTGAGACGGAGCCTCAAGCTATCTCCTTGGGTAGAGTGCCATGGCATCACGCTCACAGCAACCTCCAACTCCTGGGCTCAAGCGAGTCTCCTGCATCAGCCTCCCAAGTAGCTGGGACCACAGGCGCCTGCCACAACGCCTGGCCATTTTTTGGTTGCAGCCATCATTGTTGTTTGGAGGGCCCGGACTGGGGATTCGAACCTGCCACCTTAGGTGTATGTGGCTGGCGCCTTAGCCGCTTGAGCCACAGGCGCCAAGCCAACATCCCTGGTTTCTACTCATTTCATGCTGGTAGTAACCTCACTTTCCCACCAGGCATGATAATCAAAAATGTTTCCAAACGTTGCCAAATGTCCCTTGAGCGGCAGATTTGCCCCTGAGAACCACTGACCTATAAACTGTGAATCAGTGATAATTCCTAGTACCTTGGATGATTCAGTCTGCAGTCTAGGACTTAAAAAAGGTGGCTGAGTTTGTTTTGCTTTGTTTTCTCCTTTTCAAATGTAGGGAGGTAAACTTCAGTGGATTGAGGCACTATAATTAGGACTATAGTCCTTTCCCATATTTTGCCTCATTTTCCAATGGCCGGGTATGTGGGGATAATAGTTCTTCATTTCCTGGGGTTTAAGAGGTGGTTTAAATTAAGAAGCTGCGGAGGGTTGCTGAGTGGGTAGGGCGCCGGCCCCATATACTGAAGGTGGTGGGTTCAAACTTGGCCCCGGCCAAACTGCCAAAAAAAAAGAAGCTGGGTAGCAAACTGTTCTTCTTACTGGTTGAATGTGAAAACTGCCCATTTGCTTTCTCTTAGATTCCCCATAATCAACAGCTGGTCAGAAGGAACAGGTGGGATAGGAAACAAGGAGAAGTGCATGGGCCCTAAGGAAGCTCAATTTTCTCATGTTGCCTACTATGGGCAAGAACTTACTTTCCTGGCTTGGTGTGGTTGGCTCATGCCTATAGTCCCAACTACTCCAGAGGCTAAGGCAGGAGAATCACTTGAGCCTAGGAGTTCTGTGCTGCATGAGCTATGATCCTGCCACTGCATCTGCACTCCAGCTTGGGTGACAAAGCAAGACGACATCTCAAAATAAATAAATAAAAGAACTTGTTTTCCTTTAGCATCTTCATTTGTACCCGTGACCATAGCAGGTGAAATGGGAAGGAGAGAAAAGGAGAACCAGTCAGTAGTTGAATAGCAATTTCCCAGCTGTTTTCCATGCTTTGGGTGGGGCATTGGGCTCTCAAAACTATATATTGGTTGTATTTCCTTTTCCTCATATTAAAAACCATGGTATAGGATTAAGTGATTCCAGAGTTTACCTATTTTTTCTTTCTCTTTTCTTCTCTTCCCTCCTCTTCCTCTTCTCTTCTCTTTTCTGACAGAGTCTCACTCTGTTGTCCTGGCTAGCTTGCAGTGGCATCATCATAGCTCTTTGCAGCCTGAAACTCCCTGGCCGCAAGCAACCTTCCTGCCTCAGCCTCCTAAGTAGCTGGGACTACAGGTGTGTGCCACACATCCAGTTAATTTTTCTATTTTTTGTAGAGATGGCACCTTGCTATGTTCAGGCTGGTCTGCAACTCCTGGCCTCAAGTGATTCTCCCAAAATGTAAAACATTATAGGTGTGAGCCACTGTACCCAATCTACCTCCCCTTTTCTTTTTCTTTCTTTTCTTTTTTTTTGAGACAGAGTTTTACTATGTAACCCATGGTACAGTGCTGTGGTGTCACAGCTCACAGCAACCTCAAACTCTTTGGCTTAAGTGGTTCTACAGGTGCCTGCCACAACGCCCGGCTATTTTTTTGTTGTAGTTGTTTAGTTGGCCCAGGCCGGGTTCGAACCTGCCACCCTCTGTGTATGTGGCTGGCGCTGTAACCACTGTGCTACGGTGCCGAGTTCCTTTTCTTAAGGATTTGAGTTTTTCTGTGCTTACATTTTAGGTTTACTGAGGAAGAGAGGACTAGGTCCTACTTGCTATCTTTAGCTTTCTGAGTCCCCATCAGGTCTACTCTTCTCAAGTAGCTTATCTTTTTTTTGAGACAGAGTCTCACTATGTCACCCTGGGTAGCGTGCCATGGCATCACAGCTCACAGCAACCTCCAACTATCAGGCTTAAGTGATTCTCTTGCCTCAGCCTCCCAAGTAGTTGGGACTACAGGCGCTTTATTTTTTTTTAGATAGAGTCTTACTTTGTTGCCTTTGGTAGAGTGTTGTGGCGTCATAGCTCACAGCAACCTCAAACTCTTGAGGATCTCAAGTGATCCTTTTGCCTCAGCCTCCCAAGTGGCTGGGACTACAGGTGCCTGCCACAATGCCTGGC